TCCTAGAGTTGTTTCATTCTACATCTTTCTCTTCCCCATTTCCCAGTTTACGTATGGTTTGGGAATCAATAAACCTTTGGTCTCAAGTTTTGGACAGGGTATCAGTAGCTTAGAGAGGTTTGAGTTTTCATTTTCTACTTCATGCCTATATACCACAAAAAGGACAAAAAATAAGAGCAGAGAGTTACTGACATCTGGCTTGAAAGAGCAGTGACAGGCATGGATCATGGAAGGACGGAGACCTTCAAAAGCAAGAACAACTGCTTGCTGCGAGGAAGGCGAGAAGCCTGTGTGTGAAGGAGGCATCAGATTTGTAGACCTACTGCTAGGACTGGAAGTGAGCCAGAATCCTGGCTCTATTTCTGACATCTTCGTTGTGGAGAAAAACAGTTTCACTTGAAATATTTCTGTATCTAACACTTGCAAAGATTCAAAAACCTGGATGTTCTTAATTCAGTGTGGTTGGGTATCTAATGGTAAGAAGAGCACTTAGTCCCATTGATATCAGTTTGGGTTTTTTTTGTAAGGGTAGTGTTCAGCTTGGAACTATAATTACAGTATTTTAAATTACGTAATTGTTCATTACAATTCAGCTAATTTTAGTAGTCAAAGGAGTAGAAATTGAAGAAAAAAAATTTTTCTCTCTTTCTCCTTGTAGGCGTTACTGAGACTCTTCTGATATGTGCTCCTTAAAGTTGTCTAGCTTTATCCTAAAAGCCATAAAGCATGTATCTTCCAGCACTTTCTGAGAAGGTTTATTACAGTCTTGATCTTTTATCTTTACTATCAGCTATTTTTTTTTCTTTTTGCTTAAATTTTCTTCCACTCAATGGCTTGACGTCATTGTTTCTTAGAAGAGCTCCAGAAGTCGAAAGGCGTTTGGGAGGGCAGGAGGGGAAGTGCAAGAAACATTAGATGATGTGCCAGGAGTCATATGATGGCAGTGGGTGAGTGGAGGGAAGAACAGGTGAAGCAATCGCAAAGATTTCAGGAAATGTGAAAAAGGAGGCTGTGACATAATGGAGACTACCCAGTACGTGCTTGGATGTGGACAGTCACGTCTGCTTTGCCTGCGCTCTGATATAGCTGCTTCCAGGCCAGGTCTAATCTGGAAGCCATGTAAACACAAGACTGTCAAACTAAACATCTATGAACCCCGATGTCTTGGCATCAGCACTGCTCAGAAAGATGTATCTAGCGCTAGCAGAGTGCTTTTTTCTCTTACATATCCTCTTAGTTTCTAGCAAGAGACTCTACTATCATTTCCTTTGGTTGGTTGTGAGGCAAATTCAATATATCCTGCCTTTTGGGGCTTAGTTGAGGGACAGGAGATACTGTATTAGTCCACAATCACACAGATATTGAACCAATTATTTTACGTCTAACAACTTTGGAGATCAGGCTGCACAGACACAGTTCTCCAAAACTGTCTTTCTAGACAACTTGGTTTTTTTACCAGGTTGCTCTGCCTCCAGGCTTCTACAGGTTTTCCTTGCCAGGATCACGGTGTAAGATAAGACTAAGCGGTTCTCAAAACACAGCAGATCAAGATCTACCTGGAAGAAAGAGTTACACTGGAGAAGGAAGTGCAAGGGTATTTTTTTGTGCTGAGATTTTGAATAGAAACAAAAGACTTTAGGACCTAATCTGTTTCTGAGTTGGAGTTTCCATGTTACAGGATCAGAGTAATGAAGCTTGCATAGGTATTTCTCTTGGGTAGAAAATATTACCTATTGACAATCTTTATCAAGAGTTACTTGGTCATACTATCTTAGATGTTTAAAAATTGGGCTTTTTTTCCAGCGCATAAGAACTATTATATCTAAACAAAATATCTTAACAAAATGGATACAGAAGTTGCTGTCCTGCTTTATGTTTCCCCAGAGGCAAGGAAAGTACAAGTCAATGTCAGATATGTGGTAGCTGTTGTTTGTATAGAATGAATCTTGAGATTGTGATTGATAGGGCTGTTACAGATGTTTTGACCTAGTGGTGTGGTTGAGTGAATGCTGAGAGGGAAAGCTAAGGTTTCTCATACCCATAATGCAGAACTGATATTCTGTCTTAAGCTGGTATTCACAGAGGGTTATGTAAAAATAATTACACTGGTTTACATGCACTCTTGGGCTGTTGGGGTTTTTTTGCTGCAAGTCGGTATGTAGACACTCAAATTGCAAAGGGCACGTTCAAATTCATGCAGGTGTTTTTGGGGGTTTTATCTGTGTTCCTTGGTGCTCCTGCTGCTTCAGCTGTAACAGGAGAAGTTGTAAGGAAGCTGCAGCATGTTGCTTTTCCTTGCACATGAAGAAATTGTGATCAAATTGCTCCAGGTCCACGTCTGAGAGAACTTGATGGGCTGGTTCTCTCGTTGCAGGGGGTCTGTGTTGCTTTGATCTCCCTTTGCGGGTCTGTGAAATGAAACCAATGTGGTGGGTGCAGCTCCTTTAGTCTGAGCACAATAATAACAGCACTTTGCTGGAAAGTTGGGGGTTTTTGGGTTTTGCTGTTGGGTTTTTTTCCCCACAGTGAACAAACTTGTATGGCATTGTGCCAACACAGAGGATGCTGTTTGATTCTGCCTTGACAATTAGATAGGCTTGCAGTTTCAAACACATCCTTCTTGACTAATTTTGATGGTGGTTTGGCAGTTATGAGGAAGGCGATACATTGTTTTTATTTGATTTACTTAAGTGATAATTGTGAAGAAAAATTAGAATTGAAGTTTCTCATTTTAACTAAAATTGGGCCTTAAATTAAAGCTATTTGGATATGTTCAGCACTAGATAATCTCCTTCCACTTGTGAATTATGGCACTTAAATTTTGTTGAAGAGAAAACTGGACTAGGAGGTTGGGGTGGTAAGGAGTGAACCATTCAGATGTTTTGCATTCAAGTAGCTTTTACAAACGTGAGTAAGCAGGAAGGTGCAGTGAGGGCTGGCTTGATTTTCATTGTGAGAAGGACTAGGACTTTGATGCGTAGCTCTGTTTCAGTGAACAAAAGAAGGTGCTTTCTCCCAACAGTATGATCTTACCATCTCCAAAAAAGAAAAACCTTCCCTGGAACAAACAAGCTGGGTTTTTTTTGGTTAGTTGGTTTTGTTGTAACCTGGTCTGTGTCGGGTAATTTGCCAGTTAGTTTAAGTGCTAATCTGAAGGCTGTGTAAGAGTTTTATTCGGTTCCATTAGATCCAACTAAACTTTGTAATACAGGGGCTATTATCCTGCCAGTTGTGAGGAATTTCTGTTTTATGGAGCAGTGCTGACACAAAGACAGCACTGTGCGAGCCGTCTCTATAACTGAGCACTTTCACACTGCAATTTAGGAGGCGTGCAGTTCAGGAAATTGCTGGCTTCTGCTGGAGCACACTTTTACTGCAAGGAAAATTTTATTCGTCACTCAAGTAATTGGCAGTTTTAATACCTTGTTAGTAATTACCTTATAAACAAACTAATGCATAAAGGCAAGGCTCTGTGACCTGTTATCTAACTCAGTCTTATTTGGCCAGTGGAACTGACACATGGTGGTGGTGTTTGTTGTTGTTTTTTATTAAAGTAATTTGTTTCCATTTATTATAAATACTTTCAGCTAAGAGTTAAAAAAATGCAGCGTACCTCTACCAGACAGCCTGAGGAGTGAAACACGATACAAGCGCAGCATTGGAGGGGCTGCAAGATCGCTTACCCGTTCCCACATGTGGTCAGAAGGCCCATTAATCTATCTTCTGGTTCAGTTTTTGAGTCGGGACTTTGTTGTCTTGAGCAGTAATCCTCCCATACCCTTTGAATATGTGAGGGTTGTCCATGCTATCCTAAAGGTGTGGGTTAGTATTTGGTCCAGAGCGTATTTCCAATAAAGGCAGACAACTTCCAGAATCAGCGTTCTTGTTGATAGTTTTACTGAAATTGCCTTTGCCTGCAGTCTCGAGGAGCTGGGGAGAGCTCCTAAATTTTGATCATTTGTCATACTAGGTACAGAATGTACCACAGCCAGAACTGACTTGAACTTCCCAAGGTAACAAGGATCATTTTAGGTTACTTTCATTTAATTGATGATGATCTGTTTTCCCTTATGTACAATTAGCCCCAAACAAATAACCCTATTAATGTTGCTGATGTACGTGTATGATTCTGTACATTATGCAACTGGGATGAAAAAACTAGTAGGTTGCTGGGTATGAACATGAAATATGATCGCTGGAAAAAGCACATGTCATTGGAAGTGAAAGTAGGGGTATTCCTTATGGTAGACTAGGATACCCATGTCTTTCAACAGTTGCAGAGTTTTTATTGTGGAATTGGGTGTGATGCTTAGCTGAAGTTTGACCAGACGTGAAGTCCTTCTGCTCTGTAATGAGCTGTAATAAGCTGTAATAAGCAGAAATTTTATTCTTTGCTCACTCATTAGAAAAATCTATAGGATGAAATATAAAGTCTAATTGCAAAATGGTAGTACATCTTTCTGAGGGGGCACGCTGTCATCCATCTTTTCTAATCTAGCTCTGTTTTTCTGGAAATTCAGTCTGATTTTCACGTTGTAGGAGTTTTCAAAAAAACAAAACACTATGTCTAGCTACTGTGATGTTAATTTGGTTAAAATAGAAAAGAACTCAAATCTCATTGCATTACAATACTGTGACATACTGTTCAGGCCAAATACCAGATATTTCTACTGTTCAGAAATAGATGATTGTAGAGTTTTACCTCTTGTTTTAAAAGCCGTGAATTGCAATAATTGGATTAGAATGCAATTTTTTTCATCTTGTTTGCTGGGAATATGTTTTAAGAAATGTTGATGAACACATTTATTTAGAGCATTCCAATTTGATTTTGGATGGCTAGAAATGAATGTTATGTCTAGAGAGCATACTTTATTGGTTTTCTTTAACTAGAAATTATTTTCAACTGGGGGAATTAAGAACTAACTTTTCTCAGTCATGTGTAGTTAACAAGTGTTTACTCTGGAAACGGAAGTCTTTTGATTGCTGTCCTTAAATTTCAGGACCAGTAACAAGATTGCCAACATCTTGTCTGAACATCTGAAGCCATTTCAGAGTCTAGAAACTTTGGACTTGAGCAACAACAATATATCAGAGCTAAAAGTATCATCGTTTCCATCATTACAGCTCAAGTATCTGTAAGTAAAACTTAGTATTACTTTTTTTCTTTCAGGTTACTTTCAAAAAACTTGTTGGAAAGCTTAGATTGGCAGCTGTTTGTTAAAGTACTAAATCTCCTTTCAATTAGACATGCATTAAATACTTATTCCTACTTTGACCTGTTGAATTTAACATAAGCTGCTAACTTGAATACATGAGTTGTTGCAAGGAGATGGTTTAGTTCATAAAAAGTGAAGGTCATTCATTATCTTGAGATGGAACAAATAGATGTGTCTCATCAGAGAAATGATTATGTAACAAAATGAACTTAAGTTCGCCATGGTTGGGCTATTCTTGAGTTACATCTTTGTAATCTACTTTAATCCTTATTCAGTAACACTGCAATGCCAGAGCTATACTGAGTGAGGATAAAGTAATAGAGTTCCGACATGCTATCTTCTGCCAATAAGACGCTCCTGTAGAGCAGAGCAAAATGGTGGTGGTGAATTACTATTTGACCAAAGACTGAGCTGTCAAGAGCTCTAATTAATAAGATAAATGAAATTCTATTCATCATGGAGTAGGCAGCGCAAGAGCTTTGTATTTCACTACTTGATATTAAGAATTTATTAAATAACTGTAAATTTAACCTTCTAGACATTGTTTCAACAGGTACATTAACAGTAACCGAATAACCTCCATGGAGCCTGGTACCTTTGACAATTTGTCTACCACACTTCAAGTATTGAAACTGAACAGGAACAAAATTTCAGCAATCCCTCAAAAGATGTTTAAACTCTCACATCTGCAGCACCTGTAAGTGCAACCTACAATTGACTAATTGTTTTCAGCTTTTCCAAAGCACTGGCAGTGCTTGAACTTTAGCCTTTAATTTAACCAGAGGCAGAGTGAGACAGACACAGAGAACATATTACTACAACCCTTACTAACTGCAGCTTTGTACTGAACAAAACTAGTCTTACATATTGGTGAGATGTGAATAGTCTTTGTGTTTAAAATCATGTTTGCCTATTAAAAGAAAAAAAAAGAAAAGGCTAGAGAAGGGGGAATAGCAGTGTTCCTGTAAGAAAGCAGTGGAAAAATACTAAGTGAAGTAAACTTACACAGTTCATTACAGCAGACTCTGATTTATTTTGTTCTTTCATGGTGAAATGAAGGGAAGTAATTTGCTTTCAGAAGGTATGACAATAAGCAATATGCTTGAGTAAATAGACCTTCATCAGCTTCACTGATACAATGATGTCTAGAAATGTCTTACTGAATAAATAATAAATATTTAATATGGAAGAGGCTGGGGAAATACCTTGTTTCCTTTTTTTTTTTTTCCCTTCCTTAAAAAAGACGTAAAGAATGCAGGAAGTTGACAAGAGGATAGGCTAGGACTGCACTTGGTCAAATCCTGAATAATTATTTTCCATATTAGATAGGCAAGAGTTAAAAATTATGAACTCTCTTAGTTTAACCTTGAAAGTGAAAGGTCATAAGAACAGTGAGGTGTTAGGATGCTCGACACATCTGGAAACAGTGACTGTGTCTTTTTTGTATGCAAATGCAGGAAGAGTTTGACTCAAGCCTCAGTAGAGGAGTGTAAGAACAGTCCTGCGAAGCTCGGGGTTTGTTAACAATCTTAGACTTTCTGATCTTCAGATTCAACTGAAATTTTGGAAGTTGGTGATATTCTTGGCTAAAAAAGTTCTACTCGTTCACAATTTAATCGGTAGGCTCACCTAGTTGTATTAGGTAGCTAACCTGCAATGAAGGCCAAAAATTTGTGTTACCACCTGAAAGAAGTATTCAAAGGAGGAGCGGGGAAGAACTGCAGGCTGTTCTTACTGAATGTTCTCTGCTTATGCACATTTAAATACAGGAGGAGGGTTCTCTATCAGGTATCTGTTACCAGGTAGGGTTCGTATCGGGCTGCCACAGAGGAAAGCTGAATTCTTACAAGACTGAGACTCTGAAAAATAATTGTGGTATAACTATGGAGAGAGATCTATTTAGACTTTTACTTCCCATAGAGAGGTAAGTTTTGGAAGGAGAGGATTCTTCTTGGTTTGGTAGCTTGCAGGTTGATAGATCTAAGACCTCCTTGAAGTGGCAGACGATCACTCATTGTTGTATGAGGGCCTTTTCTTAGTATTGTCTAATCTTGTCGCTTTATACTGTATATCGGTTGTTGCTAATAAATAAACTGTTAATTTAGCAAATGATGACTAGTTTAAAATTCATTATTATAAAAGCAGTTAACATTGTTCTTTGTGCCTATGACTTCCCTTTTCACATAGGTCAGAAATTCAGAAAGCTGCTTGGGGTTGGTGCAGGATTTGGAGTTAAAAAGGACCAAAGCCAAGAAAGTGTTGTGGAGAGCAGGAAAATAGAAAATATTAAGTACTACTGTCACTGCAGCTTGCCCTCCAGCTAGTTATGCCTTGTAACTCCCTTCCAGGATACACATAGGTCCCAACTTCTGACCTACAAGGGATGTGTGTAGTGGCAGAAGGGTGAGCCAAGACTACTTGAGAAAGAGGGACAGAACTATTTGTAACTAGTTGTCGAGAATAAGGGAAGAATGTGTAATGGATGCTTGGCTCCAGATTAAGAAAGAGGGATCACCCAGGATATTTAATTTTGCCTAGTTATCACAATGAAAATTTTAACTTTTTCTTTCTGACCAATTATTGATTGCAATTACAAGCTAACCTTAATGGCTGTACTGCTGGGTAAACACCAGGAACTTGCTTTCACTTTTGAATTTGTGAACAGGATTAGCCACAACATTCTAGGTCTACAGGGGTTCTTTAAAACTGAAAATCAAGAAAGTACCAAGTATTTGTCCTCAGTATCAGAAAGGCAGAACAGTGTTAGCATGGTTAAACATAATGTATTACAGTAAAATGTTTGATTTTTATTACATCTTGCCTCTGTTGTTTTATGTGCAAGAAAAGCATTTAAATAAGGTTTGTTTCCAGAGAGGGGAGAAAGGTTGTTGGCATGCTGATAAACTTACTCTGCTGTAACTGTAAATTTTATTGATGCAGGGAGCTGAATCGCAACAAAATAAAAAAAATAGATGGGCTTACTTTCCAAGGACTTCCAGCTTTGAAATCATTAAAACTGCAGAGAAATGGCGTTACCAGGCTCATGGATGGTGCTTTCTGGGGATTGACCAACATGGAAGTCTTGTAAGTATCAACTTTTTTCTGATAGATTCTGATGATAACATATTAAGTAGAACTGCACAAAATGAACAGAATTGTGTGATAAAATGTAAAGACATTTTTGAATTAAGTTCTTCTAGTGCGGTTTGAAAAGCAGCAAGCGGTCATTGGTAAATGTGTAGGACACAATGCGTGCATACAAGGAATGTGTGCGTATAAGTCCAAACGTAAATAGAGGCTGCAGCTATCCAGCCAGTATGATGAAGTCGGATATAGACCTGTGGCAAAGCCTGCTCGCTGCTGAGTTTCTGAACCTTATGTCTTGTATCTGTTTGCATGGGTTTGTGTGTGTTTGTAGGCAGCTGGACCATAACAACTTAACAGAGGTAACCAAAGGCTGGCTTTATGGCTTGCTGATGCTGCAGCAACTCCATCTCAGCCAAAATGCCATCAGCAGGATCAGTCCTGATGCCTGGGAATTTTGCCAAAAACTCAGTGAGCTGTGAGTAGCTTTTATTCTATTCCAGTTTTGAAAGCCGGGTGCATGCCAAAGCATGAGCTTCTTACCACAGATCTGTGAATTTTTCATAACAAAGTTTCCAAGGTGACAACAACTTTTTTGTATGTGAGACAGTTATATTTTGTTGAAAGAGATTGAAGCCAACCGTGACTGCTTCACTTCACTGTGGAAGTTGTACTAAAGCTGTAACACAGTCATTTTCAAACGGAAGAAATTAATTCTGCAGTAATTTGTGAATTGTTGGAAACAATACACAAGCTGTGTGGTCAAAAATGGTGTAGTAGGTTTTGTGATTGTTGTAAGGGAAAAAACTCTCTCCCCCCTGAAAATTCACCTGGGTTGAACTGTGTAATAAGCACTGCAGCATAAACATTAAAGTACGTTTCTTCCTTGAATTTGCAGAGACTTGACATTCAATCACTTAGCAAGGTTAGATGATTCAAGCTTCCTTGGTTTAAGTGTGCTGGTTGGACTGTACATTGGAAACAACAAAGTAAATTACATTGCTGATTGCGCCTTCCGGGGACTTTCCAGTCTACAGACTTTGTAAGTTGAAAAACTCAATTCTTAAGGTCAAAAACCTTAAGAAAAATCCTCAGTGTTTATAGATTTTATTTTTTTCCTTACGAAATATACAAGAACCTTTTGTTAACTTTCCCAGATCAGCATATGTTTTTCTTACAGTAGGATTTTTTTTCAGAATAGTTGGGAGAAGGAGGACTTCCTCTTTCGTTAAGGCTGTGCACAGCAAATGGTGGTAATTGTGATATGAACTTTCAGTAGCATTATTACAGGAAAGGCATGTCTGTGTCTCCATTCGAAGGCATGAAGCAGCATTGCTACCCACAGCTTTGGGGATCTGGATCATAGTTGTGTCCTAACTGACTCAACATTTTCCCTCATGGTAGAAATAAGAAGACAAGACTCAAAACTGCATATTGCTATGCATGCTGATGCTTGTCGTGACTGGGCAATTGCTTTAGCATTTGAGCATTTTTTGAAATAGCATTTCTTAAAAGAAGGAGAAGAAAGAAGTAAACCCATCTAAATGTATTTCGCTTCATTAAAACCTTCCAATTGCATTCCGTTAACCCATCTGTTAACCAGATGAATGAAATGATTGCCTTTCCCTCTAGGCTTTGAAAAGGGTGCTAACACTTTAATTTCAGGGATTTGCTCACGTATACTTTGGGCATCTAGCAAAGATGCGATTCAGAGGGCTGTATGCTATGTTTTGTAAGTATACAGAGATCATAAAGAGAGGAAGTCAGAGACTTGTGAGGTGTCTAGGAATTGTTAGACTTCCTCCTAGATTTTTTTTCTCTTCTGGTTCTACCCTGTTGATTCTTTGCTGACACACTGTTCTTTTGAGAAATCTCTAATCTCTTTATGCTTCACAGATAATTAAGCTAGTGTTGTGGATGTTGTAGGATGTAAAAATGGTTCACTTACTAATAAATCTCTGTATTCTCTGTGTGTTAATATTACGAACTTACAAAGGCATGAGTGTGTTTTGTTTCGAAGGGGCAGCAGTTGATCGCTTCCTTTGCTACGATGCTCCTTCTCTTATGATAGTGCTGTATCTGAATACCCTTGCAGGGACATGTGGGTTTGTTTTCTAATGATTCTTAAAATTGTTGGGTTTGTGGTCTTTATAATTATCAGTGGAAAAAGTACTAATAGTCTTCAAAGTCTCTCAGTAAAAATTGAAATGAAATAGCTAATCAGGAAAAGCTTCTCTTAAAAAACAAGCAAACAAACAAAACCCCAAACAAACAAAAAACAACCTACCAGAAAGCTATTTTAGAAACTGCTTTAAATAATACATACTCTTGAAGACAAAGTATGTACCTTGTTCTTTTTAATAGCTCTTGTGATTTGATCTGCCCCCCCCCCCTTTAAACAGGGATCTGAAAAACAATGAAATATCATGGACTATTGAAGACATGAACGGTGCCTTCTCTGGCCTAGATAAACTTAGGAAACTGTGAGTATTGTTACAATATTTCTATCTCATCATTCCTTAAAAAAATTAGATTGTATGTTTCAAGGGACAAGCCCAACAGTTAATGATGTTATGTTTTCCACAGTTGAGATGATTTTTTTTTTTTCCTGCCTTACCATTTTGTTCTCTATAAAATGTTCCTTTTCTGTAAAAGGCATTCCATATTTTTCAAGTCTAACTAATTTGAAATATTTTAAATATTACTACTACTTACGGAAACATTTCTCAAAGAATGAGGTTTAGGAAGTAATAAGTGCATTACATGACAAAGACATAGTGACAAGGATAGTCTTTGATAAAGTAATGCAGCATCCAATGGAAGTGGCTTCATTGCATTGAAACTTTCAAATACACCTCTATGAAATGACAAGTTGCTTATGTGTATACATTCAGAATAATCCGTATCACTGAACTGTACACATTAAATGTCTTCTAGAATCATTGTAAAATCTAGAAGTTTACTGAAGGGCAATAAATTAGTATCTTTTAGAAGTGAGACATTTTGCTGCATTGGGGAAGGCTGAGTGGTGAGTATTAGTCATAGTTTAGAAATAAATGCCAAAAATGCAATCATTCAGCTCAAAAAAAGCTTCCATTTTATCTTTTTTGCATCATGTACTTATATTTTTCAGGATACTCCAAGGAAACAGGATTAGATCCATTACAAAGAAAGCATTTTCTGGTTTGGATGCACTTGAACACCTGTAAGTAGTTGAAATTCACATTTAACCCAACATCAGAAAAAATTAATTTTGATTCTAATTAAAATAAAAGTAGGACTAACAAGCTTTCTTTATGATTCTGAATGAAATACACTTGCCCTGGTTGCTACTGTGATCTTGAGAAGGTTCTTTTGTTTTGGAGTTATGCTGAATGTTAATTTTGAAATTAATGCAGAAAGGGTGATGTATTAAGCATGTTATAAAACTCCTTAATCCTGTCTCTTTAGTTTTTGAACTAGAGGATCCTTTGTGTATCACTAAGGTGGCAAACTATTCCTTGAGTCTTGAATACATTAAATTTAATAAATTACTCTTTCCTCCTCTAATGTTATTTTTCTTTTTTTTTTCTTTTCCCCTAGAGATCTAAGTAACAATGCAATTATGTCAGTTCAAGGAAATGCATTTTCACAAATGAAGAAACTCAAAGAATTGTAAGTTTCTATCTAAAGACATCACCTCTATTAAATGTATATATCCATATAAATATGTAAGTAAAAGCCTTGTAAGATGCTGCCTCATGCAGTGGTTAAACTCCCGCTATAATCTCTCCGAAGTCATGTAAAAAGAGTATGTCAGTGTTTTGGGTTTTTTATTTTTTATGTGATGACTATATTTAGGTGAGAGAAAGTGTAGGATAGGAGGTGTTCATTTTCTGCTACATTTGGTGTCTAGAGTCCTTATTTTAAATTGACTGGTCTCTAATAGATATTAGATAAGGGAGACTTTGATGTAATGTGCTATAAGATCAGCAGTGCTATCACTGAGCTAAAGCTTACTGGACCAGTGAAATGCAGTGCTGTAATTCTTTTGTAAAGACCTGGTTGTCAGTGCTTGTAATTGGGTCCTTCTGTCCTGTAGTAGCAAAGGGGCAGATCTTCAGAGAAGTCATGAAGCGGTCACTGGGAAGAATGTATTCTTCTACTGAGTTTTGGGGGGTTTTTTGTCCTCTTACCTTCTTTTTATGTTGATCCATGCAGAAAAACACTGTCAGTGTTCCCTGTGTTTTGAGCACAGCTAGTTCTTCCTCTTTCATGTATCTTGTGTCTCCTCTATTCATGTCAGCCTTTTCTAGTCAGATCTGTTGTCCTGAGCTGCTCTGTGGATAATCTGTCAACAAACTAAAGAATGACAGAAAGATGCTGCTCTCATTATGAGTAGAAACAGCCTGAAGCTTGTCTGGAGCTTTTTTTTTTGTGTTCTCCAGACTCCTACCAAGTATCACCCTAGCAGCTGGCTCTCTGCTTCATCTTATAGTATTGCTTCATGTTGAGTGCCACAGAGAAAGTAACAAGGAGCCTTGACTATTTCAAAGAACCATAGAACAACCCAGATTGGAAGGGACCTCAGAAGGTCATCTCATCCAACCTTTAGTGGAAGAGGGAGCCTAGATGAGATTATCTAGCACCCTGTCCAGTTGTGTCTTGAAAAACTCTAGTGCTGGGGACTCCACCAGATCCCCAGGGAAGTTGTTCCAGTGTATGATTGTTCACACTGTAAAATACTTCTTGCTTGTGTCTAGACAGTATTTGGTTCATTCGAAGTTCAGTTTGATGTTACCCATATCCTGGTGTAGCTGCAGCTCCTCTAGAAAGCAGCAGCTGTGCTCTTCTACCCATAGCCAGGGGTTTTCTGCCTTTCCTCTTCCTTGAGTTGGACCTGGTTGTATTGCTTGATCAGTTTGCTGGACTCACTCTGCCAGCTGCAGGGCAATTGCTAGATTTGGGGCACGAGAAGCAGTGGGAGCACAGTGCTGACAATTAGGGATTGATACAAATGATTTGAAGAGTGATAAAGTGTGATGGAATGACAGGCTAGCACTGCCCCAGGAGGTGTACGATGCTACAAGATACCGGACTCTGAACACTTCAATGAAATAACTATTGAAGATTTGTTGGGGGTTTTTTTCTGTACTTTTCTTGAAACACTTGGTAGAAATCCATTATGTCTGAGGAAGATGTAGACAGATGTAAGTAAGATTATTTAGTATAAATTCCATCTAGTAATTTTATTCTGAGGTCCCTAGAAAGTAAATCTGAAAATAATGACAGATACCCACTGCACAAGGGTAGCAAAAAATGCTGTGGTTTCTCTGCCTCCTAAGAATAACAAGAATACCCCTAGAACTTTGGTGAAAGATGACCTGTTTCATCTCAATGTGAACTGGTGAACTGGCATCCCTAGATTTTTATCCATGCAGTGTTAGGGTGAAAAAAGAGCACAGAGAAACTCTTCCTTTTCTTCAAGAAAAAAATCAAGAATTGCTATGTCTTCATTTATCTTTAAAGCTGTTTCTCTCCCTGGATCCATAAATTATTTTTGCTTTTCCTCCAAGAACTGGTAAGATTTGTAGAGAGGAATTTTACTACTGGCTGTGTTTTTTAATATGTTTTTTTAAGGGTGATTCTGAGTTTTCTGCCAAAACTGAGAACTATTCCTACTTCAACTGCTGATTCTAGATACTTCACAGAATATCCCTTTGCTTTATTTTTTTTTCCCCCTCTGTGAATGTAGCTATTCGCATAGGTTAGGTAAGCTGATAACCAGTTCTGCACTTGTTATTTCAACACTTGACTATTCTTTGTCTCCCCACTCTCCTTTTTAAATATCTTCCCCAAGATAAATTCTGACTGAAATGGAAATGAGGGAGTGAAATTGTCTGAGAATTTTTTTATGCTGGCTTCCAGAGCACCTCCCTTCTGGACTGTTCTCCTACATGCCCATACTGCGTGTCCTGCTGCTGGCTGTAGTTTTGTACCCAAGACACTACAGACATGCCTGACTGCCTGGACTCTTACTTGTAGCAGAAGCTGGGAGTTCAGCTTTGTAGAATGTAGGAGTCATGACAATGGTGTCACCACATCTGAGCTAAATTATATTGCTGTCTTTCTCTTCTGATATATGTATTTAGCCTAAAAATTTAGTTCTATTACTGATGTGTGCTCATAGAGATCTATCGGTATTACAAACAGAAAAAACAAGCAAACAGACTGGGAATGTAATTGCTTTTTCTTAGGCACTTAAACACGTCGAGTCTCTTGTGTGACTGCCAGTTAAAATGGCTACCACAGTGGATGTCAGAGAACAACTTTCAGAGCTTTGTAAATGCCAGTTGCGCCCATCCTCAGCTGCTAAAAGGGAGAAGTATTTTTGCTGTCAGCCTGGATGGGTTTGTCTGTGGTGAGTATAGCCTCTATTCTTCATTCCGTAGAACAAATTTTGCTGAATGCATTGATTTTTGTTGTGGTTTCTTTGTTATGTTCTGTTTTCTCTAATAAAATGGAGAGGATTTAATATTTGTTAACGTTTCCTTCTCGGTTCCCTAACTGTGATGTAGATGCTCAAAGTTTGTGGCTTTGTACAAGATGGAGAGTGATGGTTTTCTGACTTTTATTTCATGTACAGCTTGCTTGCATAGTACATAGCATAGCGTGCAAGGGAAGACTCGATAGTTTGTGGTGGTAAATGTATATGCCTCTGGATTTAAAAGATGGATATAGTTTAGATAACTATCATTTCTAAGAGAGACATATTTTGCCAAACTTAAGATGTAATTTTTGGTTTTGATTATATTTGTAAATTATTTTCATACTTCATCAGTCTTGAGGTTATTCCAGAGCTGAGAAAATTTAAAGGTAAAATAGCCATAATGGACTCAGTTCTGACCTTTTTTATGTGTGCTTTTTGTCTACTTTAAAAATTATTTGGACCATGTAAGTTATTGCCTGTACGTAAACTGTGTTTTAAAACATCTCATTACCACGGTTATGCTACTGATATTTTGTATTTCGGTACTCCATATAGTAAATGATAGTAAAATATTTTTACTTCAGGACTTCAGAATTTCAAATGGTAGCATCTGCCTTAAAAATGAAATTTCTCTATGTGATGAGATTATCATTCAGTATCACCTACAGTAACATTCAGTATCACCTACATGTTATGTTCGCTATTTAAAGCAAAGTGAAGCTAAGCATTCAGGGTAAAGATGTGTGTTTGAGTACTCTGATAAGCTAAGTGAGAACTTTGAAAATATCAGGAAATTAAAAGCTAACTGGATTTTATGTATTTTTGTTATATACATTTTATTTTTCTTACTCAAGAAAATTCAAACTTTATATTCTTTGGACACAAAACAGTAACCATATTTGTTTTCTCAATAACTTTCCTCTTGTAGCAAATATGACTGCTTAATTTTTACTGTTGCCACTCTTTTTTCAGTGGAAAAGCAGACACAGAATATAAAATAGCATACAAAAGTGTTGTTTTCTCCCTTCCTATTAGCAGTCAAATGTTTAATATGTTAATGTTAAATAATGAGTAGATGGTGCATGATCTGGCTACTGCTGAAAAGGAGGAGTTGACATAGTACAGGATTCTACAGGTTACTTGATAGCTAATGGAGTATATATGAAGTATTCATCCTTATTTATGAGAAACTCATTCTGGCAAGAAATTAAATTGGGGGATTTAAATACGTATCTCTTGTTTGTTAAACCACAGGGGATCAAGATCTTTCTTTTAGCTGCTGAATGCCATTTTTAATGAATTAATTTCAAACTCTTTAAGATATATTAGCAGAAAGAGATGTAGTAAAAGTAAGTTATTACAGTCAATCTGTAAAGTAATTGTCATGCAGAAGAAACTAGAATCTCTTAATGCAATCAATGAGTGTTTCACTGTTTATTAAATCTTTAAAGTGTGCCATCACTAGACATTTGGGTGTACACATCTTGGCTTGTAAGTCTATAATGACCACTTTTATAGAATTTTCAAGAGGATTATGTTAAATCCTATCTGAAATTAAAAGAAATAATCTGTTACGTATAATTTATATGAGTGTCTAAATCCTCCAAATCATGCCAGGTTACATTTTTGAAAATGACTAGAAGATAGGAGGGAGTCACCCTAAATTTGGTAAAGGAAAGCACTTGTTAGGCGAGAGTTCCATATCTATGAAACTAAAAAAAAATAGAAAATCTGTGTAATTTGTGCTTCCTAAGATTGTGTCTTTCAAGCTGAAAAAAATCATGAGACATTTCTGTACTAAAGATTAACTGTGGAAGAAAAATAAATAGATGCTTTTTTGATGTATTAATTACTTCAAGTTAACAGTAGTGCTAAAAGAATACCATCTAGGTGATTAATGGGTTCTTTTCTGTTACATAGTACTCAAGTGGCTTGTATAAAATGACAAATATGTTTCTCAGAGAGACTGTATGCATGTGTACATTTATGTGTTTTATGTATCTGCGTGTATATATATGTGTGTGTGTGCATTTCTGTGATGCATGTATTCAAATACACTCTCAAATTATTCTGTTCTGACAAAGCACATTGCCAGTCTTATCCTAGAGTGTTACAGGATCACAGAACCCCAGACCGGTGGGCTTGGCAGGGCCCTCTGGAGATCCCCCAGTCCAACCCCCTGCCAAAGGAGGGTCACCTACACCAAGTTGCACAGGATGGCATCCAGGCAGGTTTTGAATATCTCCAGAGGAGACCCCACAGCCTCTCTGGGCAGCCTGTGCCAGGGCTCTGCCACCCTCACAGTACAGAAGTTCTTACTCATCTTCAGGTGGAACTGACTGAGTTTCAGTTTGTGCGCCCCTTAACCTGTCGCTGGGCACCACTGAAGAGAGTCTGGCCCCATGCTCCTAACACCCACCATTAAGGTATTGGTAAGCATTGATGAGATCCAGGGAGATGCTCCAGTCCCCTCATCACCTTCTTTGCCCTCCGCTGGACTCTCTGCAGTAGCTCCTTGTCTTTCTTGAACTGGATAGCCCAGAACTGGACACAGTACCCCAGATGTGGCCTCACCAGAGCACAGTAGAGGGGGAGGAGGACCTTCTTCCACCCTGCTGGCCACCCTCTTCCTCATCCACCCCAAGATACCATTGGCTGCCTTGGCCATGAGGGCACGTTGCTGGCTCCTGGTTGACTTCTTGTCCCCCAGGATTCCCAGGTCCTTCTCTGCTGGGCTGCTCTCCAGCAGGGCAACCCCCAGCCTGTACTGGTGCATGGGGTTATTCCTCCCGAGGTATTCTGTATTCTGTAGTATCTGCTTATTTGTGTGACCTTTTCATCCCCCCTCCTGCCAAACAATTAAGACTTTAAAATCTTTTATTAGTCCATTGGTAACACAACTAAAACAGAAGGAAGTATGTTCTCCTGTCCTTTCACAAGGGTAATTTAAGTATTTACAATGTTTTACTTAGTTATCCCCGTGCAAAGTCAGTAAAAGTATCAACTCAGTTTGCAAATTATATAGTTTATTATGGAGGACTTAAGGCATGGGTATGAAGCACGAAAACCAAATGGCCTGGGAGATTCTTAGGGTCCATGCTTAGGGTCCCAGATTGGGGGGATCCATGTTGCCCTGTGGCTGGAGTGCAGCTCCAAACTTGCAAGTGTTCTGCAGGCAGCTCAAGTTCAGGCGATCTGCACATCTCATTTTCTTTTGTAACGTGCAGCATGGAGGTTCTTCAAGGAAGTAACACTTCGACCCTGGTACATTGTTCCCAGACAGAGATGTGAGGAGGCAAAGGGCCTTGGTAGAACTTGCCTCTCTGATGCGCAGGCAGAGTCTGCAGTAAGGAGTATTTGGGGCCCAGGGTTTTTCCTGCAGTCCCTGCGAAGTTTGGACCTGTGGCTTTGTCAGGAGGTAGGAGACATCTTGAAAGTTGAAATACGCTAAGGTGTTGCTTTTGGGAGACCAGGCATGTAATTGCCCACTCCTTTTGTACATGTGATGTGCATGCACTTGACAGAATAAATAGTTCAGAAGGCAATTAATTCTGTGAACTCACAAAATGGCACTTTGAAGGTAACTTTCCGATAGTAAAGGGACCTCCAGAAACTGATCTCTTGAAGTTCTTGTGTGCTGCCCTGCTTAAGGGATCTTCAGCACTACTGTGTTTATAAGGTGGACCAAACAACCACAAATCACTGGAACAGTGACTTTTGTACATGATTGTTTCTTGTGTGTTTGGGGAAGACCCTCGACTTTAACTTGCAGTTTCTGATGGCAGAAGAACTATGCTTTCAATAAAGAAAAGCTCTCAGCAGCCTGAGGTGTTGTAAAGATGAAGGGTAGGCTTCATGACTGACATTCAGAATAGTTCTTACGAATGTCGGGGGTAGTTCTTTCCTCTTTAGGGCTGCTGTTGAACAAACTGTACACACAGGCTGCTTTTAAATGTGCTTGCTTTTCAATAAGAGGTGACTTGGCACAATAAAATAAATATGGCATCTTTAAATACCCTAAGGCTAATGAAATTTAAAATGAAAGCATTGTGTATCCATTTTATAAATACTTATCTGACTCTTCTCTCAAACCTATAAGACAAGGCTTACAAACTCTTTCTAAAAAGAGTCCTCAGGCCTCACATATTTTTTTCTCTTCCTTTTTCTCATCCTTCCTTTCTCTTTCTTTTTCTCCCTTCTGTGCAGATGATTTTCCTAAGCCACAGATCACTGTCCAGCCAGAAACCCAGTCAGCAATCAAAGGCTCCAATTTGAGTTTTGTATGCTCAGCAGCCAGCAGCAGTGATTCCCCAATGACTTTTGCATGGAAGAAAGACAATGAATTACTGCAAGATGCTGAAATGGAGAATTATGCACACCTCCGGGCGCAAGGTGGTGAAGTGATGGAGTACACTACCATCCTTCGACTGCGTAATGTTGAATTCAGTAATGAAGGGAAATACCAGTGTGTTATTTCAAATCATTTTGGCTCATCCTACTCTGTCAAAGCCAAACTCACAGTAAACAGTAAGTATGTTACTTTTTGCTTGTGGACTTAAAGTAGAATTATTTTAATCAAGATATGTAAGCGTAGTTTTTTCCATTCTCATCATCTGCGTCTCTTAGAATATCCCTTAATAAGCTGAGATGATTTCTTAAAATATATCTACTTCCAAGATCACCATTCAGTTTTACATCTGGCCCCATTGTGCTGAACCATAGTACACAAAAAACCAAATAACAGACCCAATTCGTAGTAAATCTGAGAAAATCTGTGTAACAAGATGGAAAAACATTAATCTTTTCTTCACAGGAGGTAAGTGTATACTCTGTTTCGAGGTACTATGGAAAGGTCATGTAGGAGGCTGTTAGCAGAAATGAGATTTTGATCTAGGCGGTCTCACATACTTCACAGCTCCATCCCTTTCTCTTTGCTGGCGACTGCTGAATTTAGGTTGTATGCTTCTCTGGGATTCTTAGGCCCAAGAAAAGTGTTAAGAAAATCCTGTGCAAAAAAAGGAAAATTATGTTTCATGTATTCATTTTGGTATCACTAACTTTTCTTTAGTGCTACCTTCGTTTACAAAGATCCCCATGGACTTAACCATTCGTGCTGGGGCAATGGCACGTTTGGAATGTGCTGCAGTTGGGCATCCTGTCCCACAGATTGCTTGGCAGAAAGATGGTGGAACAGATTTTCCTGCAGCACGCAAGAGGCGCATGCATGTCATGCCTGAAGATGATGTATTCTTTATTGTCGATGTAAAGATCGAGGACACAGGCGTTTATAGCTGTACAGCTCAAAACACTGCTGGAAGTATTTCGGCTAACGCAACGTTAACAGTACTAGGTAAGACATTGATAATCCTTAATAGCCTAATCTCCTTGAAGAATAAACTATTGCTGAACACTTTTAATCAGCTGATTAAAAATAGCAATGTTATAAAAGTACTGTATAGAAATAAAAATATTCTGAAATAATTTGTATTGACACATAGATCAGAAATAGTACTCCAGCACACAACCACTACTATGGTGGAAAATAATAAAAGTTAGCTGTGTTTCTGAGTGTGTACACAATGTCAGGGGGAGGGGGGACGAACACACGCAAAACAGGCTGCTATTTTTGTTTTGAGACAGGAAACTTTGTTTAACTTTTAATTCCCTGACGTTTTGTTAACCATTTTTAAACTAGTTCTCTGCAGTCTTGAGTGTGTATGATTTGGCCTGTTTACCTTCTAAGGTAATCAAACGTCTATGTCTGATCAATTGACAAGTAAACTGTAGGCTCCGAGTTCAAATTCCTTGAGTGTGTTTTTTCTGAGAATGAGAGTAAGCTTCATTAGGCCTTACTGATGCATTTAATTTAGCTTTTCCTCTTGAGCTGTGAAGGGAAGGGACATGTTCCCGTTCTTGCAAGGTCATTTAGAATTTAAGGCTTATGCTTTCTTTTCAGAAACACCATCATTTTTGCGGCCTTTGCTGGATCGAACTGTAACAAAAGGTGAAACTGCAGTCTTGCAGTGTATTGCTGGTGGTAGCCCTCCACCCCGACTGAACTGGACTAAGGATGACAGCCCTCTCCTGGTAACGGAAAGACATTTCTTTGCTGCAGGCAATCAGTTACTAATTATTGTGGATACAGATGTAGAAGATGCGGGGAAATACACTTGTGAAATGTCTAATACGCTTGGAACGGAACGAGGCAACATCCGTCTTAATGTAATTCCTACTCCCACCTGTGATTCTCCTCAAAACATTGCCCCATCGCTTGATGATGACGGATGGGCCACGGTTGGCATTGTGATCATAGCTGTGGTTTGCTGTGTGGTGGGCACTTCCTTGGTGTGGGTGGTCATCATCTACCACACCCGAAGGAGAAATGAAGATTGCAGCATCACAAATACAGGTGTGTAAACTGAAGGTTTGCCTTGGAAAGGAAAAAAAAAATGTTTGTGGTTGCTTTGCAATGACTTTATTGTAGGAACATTTGTGTGCTTTGACTCAGAGTCAGAAGAGTGAATTACTTGTTACATTCAGCATTTTGCTGATGAGTTTAAAAACGCTTCATAAAACTCTGAAGTATGCTGATGGCTTTTGCATGTGTTTTACTTCCCCACAGATGAAACAAATTTGCCTGCTGACATTCCAAGTTACCTGTCATCCCAGGGGACACTGGCTGAAAGGCAAGATGGATATGGTTCGTCTGAAAATGGCAGTCATCATCAGTTCCTCACATCTTCCATGGGAGGGTATTTCTTGCAGCACAGAGACAGTAATGGTAGGTGTAAAATGTTAAGCAGATTTTCCATGTTGCTTGAGTAGCTGCAGTTTGGCTATTGTCTTTTTAACTAATAGAAATAACAGTAAAGAAACATCTTCACTGAAGTTTAAGAGAGGATGTGAAATTTATTGCTTGGGGTTGCTTCAATGAGATAATAACAGCAACTTGGTTCTGTTCATCCAAATGACATTATGGCTTTCCTTAAATCGTGAAGTTTTTTTCTAGTCTCAAGGGTAAATTTAAACTGATGATCACATTTCCAAAACAGGAGTGTCCTAAAGGAATTGCGACAGCATGTCTTCCTCTGTTATAGCTTAAAACGGATGCTTTTAATGGAATGTAGGCATGAGTGGTAATACCAGTGAAACTTTAGTATAATATAACTGATTAAACTTTCCTTTTAGAAGAGTCATTAGGGTCAGAGTTAATAAAGGATTTAAGGTGACTGGAAGTTAAAAGATGTAGTGCTTAGGATTTATACATCTGGCCCCTGAGAATCCAGAATATACCTGGGTTAGAGAGGAAAAGGCACCTTGCTGGGAGGGGGTTGGGGTCGAGATACAGCGGGGAGTTGGGGCAGGTGGGAATGGCGCAGTGGTGAGAGAGTTCTGCAGTTGTAGGGTGGTCAGAGGAGCAGCCTCTCTGTGGAGCAAGAACGACAGACCATGTGCACAACTTTCAGGAGCCATGGAGTTGAAAGTCAGTATAGCTGTCCGAGCAGCCAGTGACTCCCTCAGATTCTTCCACCTGGGACTTTCTCCTTAGCACTCTCTGTTCCAAAAGGTGACTGTGTGACAAGAGCATGAGCCTGGCTTCCAGTGCTTCAGAGGAAGGAAGTTCTTGGTTCTGATCCCTGTGATTGGGTTTGTTCTCTTATCCAGGGACTGTATAATGAAGCAAAGTGTGACACATCCTCCGTCGAGCTAATTAGTTGAACACTTGATAGAATTAGAATTCTCATCAAAAGCTTAGGTTAAACTTAAGCAAGCTCTAAATACACTTTGAAATTAAGTTGAACAGACAGGTTCTTAAAAGAACAAAACTTTACTCAAGAAACCGTAAGCTGAAGCTTAAGAAAAGACCATATGCTGACATGTCAGTTTTATTTTTAAGGCATTTGCCATCTTGATAACGGCAGTGAGACAGACTTGGAGGGTGTTGCAGATCCATTCCTCTGCCACTATCTGGGGACTTCAGGGACTTTGTATTTAAAAGGAAACACGTATGGCTCAGAGGCCTTTGAAGCATACAGTGCAAGTAAGTTGCGGGGTGGGGAGAAGTTTTAGTCCTAATTCGATCTTATGGTATGATGAATCTATATAAAAACAATTTTTCTTTTTCTTTAGGTTGCAGCCCTGACCAAAGAACAGCATGCCTGGACCCTTATGAGTCTGGATATTTAAAGAAAAAGGAATGCTATCAATATTCACCTCCACTGGAAGATCCCTTTGACCAGTGTGTTGGCATGATCGGGGTGCCAGCTACAAGCAGCAAGTTGATTAACTCCATTTATACTCAAAATGAAGGAACTGGACTAAAAAGCAGAAGTCTGAACTTGGACACATTTGATTTAAACAGAAGTCTGGAACCCTCGTCTATTATCAGTAACAGCACTTTCATGGGTATGTTCTAGCCATTGGTTTTTATTCAAGCTGCTGGTATCCTTGCTGTCTTGTTTCCTACTTCCAACACTAAGCAAAACTTGTTTTCTCAGCCTTTTGTTTCCCACTCCTACGACCGGTAATTCTGTGGTAGTGTTTTAGATGCTCATATAGCTAGGGTTGTGAAAAAATTAATTTTGTACAATTATGCACGGGCTTCTTTTTGCAGGTGTCTGTGGATTTAGTAAGATAATACAGCACATGGAAAATAGATCCTTTAGAAAGGAGGAGAGGAGGGACAGGAAGTAGCTGAGAAAATGCAGTTTGAGAGTTGTCCTTGACGTTTTGCATGTGTTCTTGTCTTTTTGTTTGCTTCTCCCCACTTCCTCCTGAGTAACTTGCAGTACTGCAGTATCTGTTTTTTAGGGCTCACACAACTGAACTGTACACGTAGGCTTGCTTTCTCTCCACTGCAGTGCATGAGGACATTTGGATGCCCCAGAACGCAGGGTACCCTCTGGATCCTTTTGAGAGATAGCCAGGAGATGGGCCCTATCCTGTCTTGCAAAGGGAGCTGCTTGGGGCTTGGTCAGAAGCAGAACTGACATACATCGAAGGAGTGATGAGGTCAAACGTGGTAGTCCGATGAGGTGGTTCACCTCTGGCTGTAACTGTGAGCTCGCTTCTGCTTCTCAGGAAGCCTGACTTTTAAGGACCATTAGATACAAGGTCCAAAATGTTTGAAGTTCAGGAACAGAAAAGTGATTACAGTAAAACTATGTAATAAGCATATGTAGATTACCAGGAGATCTTAATAGCTCACACTAACATAAAAATCTCATCAGTGGTGTGATTCTTACCTTCTGTCTTAATATAGCTGGCAGATTTCCATAAATGTTAGGGTACTTACTTAAATAGACCTTAACAAACTTCAGGCATACCAGAAGTTTTCCCTGACAAGCAAGGTCCCAGGAGGGCTCAGGGCAGGTGGGGAGAATTGAACTCCAGTATCTGAGGATATATTGTATAACACGGTGAGCCAGAACTACCCTTCAGAGTAAGGCACTGTGGGAAAATGCCCCCTCTACCCCTCCTTTGTCTTCTTTTCTCACGGTGTGTGTGACAAGAGTTCCTGAAGCTTAATTCAGGGTTTACAATTTTAACCCAGGTTGTAGGGAGAGGTGGAGGGGAAGAGAAAAACATTGCTTTACCTTTGAAACTCCCTACATTTTGGATGTTGGATTGGTTGGCTGGTTGAAAACAGATAAATCTGCATACAGCTTTCATCCCTGTGGTACCTGAATGCCAAGAGCAGCCTTGGTACTGTGGACTGTCTCCTGGCTGGTGTGTCCGCATGGTTGATCAAGGCCTGGGTCCGCTGGCTCTGCGAGGGGACCTGGGGGAGTGTGCATCACTGGGCTCTTTGTTCTCAGAGGGTGAGGAGGGAGGTACAGGCTCTGAAGTTTTCCCTCTTCAAAAGCCAGATGTTTGGGCTGTAAAACACTGCAGATGCCATGACATCTGGCAGAGGCCCTGGGACTCCACATGGCCTCCTGGCTGCCTGCCACTGTTGCTGTGGTGGGACCGTGCAGATGGGGCGTTACCACATCTTCTGCAGAAAGTAGCTCGACTGTATGTGCGTGTACCCAGGAGTTAATGCAACCTTGAGGGTTCATGTTCCCCTTTCTGCCTTAAAAATCTATACAGAACTACATTTTTTTGGTCAGTTCACTGAGCTACTACCCCACCCAAGTTGCATCGTCATTGCCTTGGATGCTTCATAATCATTAACACTCTGCACTCAGAGAGCCTATGGTTAGATCTTGGAGGTGGTGGCTGTGGAAGAAGTCATGATAGATTTCATGTCTTCAGTTGTGGATTCACTTCTTCAGCATCATTGTCTTCAAATTCAGCCCCTCTTTTGCCTCCACAGTCAGAATGAGGACGACAGCTGGCAGTAACGTTACTGTTGATGCCTGAGCCAGAAAGTTCACAGCTTGAAATTTTTTTTTATTTTTTTTTTCTAAGACAGGATTCATTCGTAGTGTTGGTGCTATGAGGAACATCCTTTCATATTGTGTTAGGAGCAAAATTGCTCTACAAAGCCTTAATGCAAATACGGACCTTGTCCAAATCCATTTTTAGTAACTTCTCAGATTACAGTTTTACTTGAAACCTTTGCTTCTAGCAACTAAGCAAACCTAGAAGTATGGCTTTTTGGGTGTAAAATTTATTAATGATTCTACTGTTAAGTTATAAATAAAAACTGAGTTCTTCAAAATCAGCCTGTGGCATACTGTCCTCTGAAAATAAGTCTTTTGAGTGTCACATACAGACAGTATGGCTTCTGATGGCCCTTTCTTTGAATCTTCAGTGAAAAAAAAGAACACCCTTCTTGCAGAGATGTTGACACTAACACCTTCCCAGTGGTGAAGAGTGACAGGCACAGTGATTATTTTCTGGCTAGTGAATCCAGATAATTATTAATAAAGTTTCAACTGATATGCCAAATTCTCTTTGGGCTACGTCTGTTTTAGCCAGTTGTGGGCAAAGAGGTGAACAGATGTGAATGGAGAATTTGGCTGGTGGGACCTTTATTATTAATGGGAGATGTTAGCCAGAACAAGATTGTTTTAGCATTCAGATTGCACAGTGGGAAGATGTTGTATAACCCTGTACATGTTGGGAGAGGGGGGGGTTGGTGGTTTGTTTTTTTGGTGTTTTTTTGTTTTTATTTTTAATTTTTGCTGAACTGCATGGCAGATTTCATGTGCCATTCATTTGCTGAAGAAAAAAATCAGGGAAAATGTTGTGACTTCTGCATTAGCAAGTGTCTTGTGATATGTTTGCGGTTTGGTCTGTGTGCCCACCCTCCCCAAAGAAAAATGGGCATGGGAGTAGTCGTGAAAACAAAAGTAATGAGGTTGTGTGTGGCTATACATTTACTTTGGAAATGTTTTTAATGTCTCAGGTGGCAGAATCTTGCCTTATGCTTGTGATCACAGGGAAGTTTTCTTTTAAGGGGTAAAATAACAAAATCTCACTTTGGTGCACTTTTGCTTGTGTTGATCCTTGGCTTGCATTCTAACATGAATCCCTTAGTGAGACACAAAAGTGTTAGCGTCAGTATTTCTGTATTGACTCATTCACTGTCTTTCAGGAACATTTGGAAAGCCATTATGGAGGCCTCAACTGGACTCTCTTTCAAGTTGTAGACAGCCAGCAAATTGCCAACCAAAAACCTCCTGTAATAGTCCTCATGCCTCACTGGACTTCGATGCAGAGGCAGACGAAGATGGAAAGGAAAGGACAGTTTGTAGAGGAGCAAATAGCGTTTATACTTACAAACAGTCCTTTGAAAACTTTAGGACTTCTGCTTTCCAGTCCTGTGATTTGGATACATAGCTCCTTTTGGACCTGCCTTTGATTTCTGGAACCAAAGAAATACTTTGACATACATACTACTACCTCAGTGTGGAATTTTATTTAAAAAGGAAGTAAGGAAAGGAAGAAGGGAAGAAAGCAACGACGTGATGCTATGAATTCAGAACGAATAAATGCATTTTTATTCAAATAAAGCATAATTGCCAAAATGCTCTACGTTTTTATACAGAGAAAACATTCCTTATAAAAATACTATATTTCTAATTATTTTATAGCTTTGTTTTATGCAAATAATATCTTTTGTAAATTAATGGTGTAAATAATACAGCATATGTATTTCTATGTCAGACTTCATTTTATTGAAATGAGTAGTAAGCATTCTAATTTTGTACTGTTACTTGTACTTTTTTACAAATGGAAACTCCATGCTGTTTGCAGGTATCATGCATCTTATTTGCACATTACTTGTAATAAAATATGCTGCCGTGTGGTCTCTGACCCACATTAGTGTACGAAGAATGAAAAGCGTGAATTATGTTTGTGGATAGCGTTGTATATGTAGGTGCCTTCTGTTGCACGTTTGCACCTTTATCTCACTAAAACTTGTATCTTTAGATTTACTGTGTTTAAATATGTTCAGCTTCTAAGAGTGGGTGCGGTCCTGCCACAGCTACTGCTAAGGTGAGTTGAAGCTATTTGTGCCAAAATAAATATGCAAATCTTCCACTTTGTGAATTCCCACCGTCAGATGTATGTGCACACAGTCCCAGCTTCCGTGCAGACAAAGCTGTGATACCAACAGTCTGCCCATGCCTGTGTGCAAGGAGTCTGCATGTATCTGGTGGAGGATATGCACAGTAGATGCACAAATCCATATCAAACTATTTAGTAAAAGAAGAAAAAAGGCTGTGGATGTTTGCCTGGTAGCATCACTCTTTTCTCAGTGGCTTAGTCTTAAGTGTTGGCCAAATACGCAGTGCATGCCCAAGTCTTTGCTTTCCCATACCCTTTCTCCCTCGTTTTTGCTTCTGCAACTGCTTCCCCACCCAAAATGCGAAGGTAATCCAAGTACAAGATAATGTTTTCTTTGGTTTAACTCATGCTTCTGTTTCCTACTCGGCTGCCCTTTTCTGCTTATAGGTGAGATCTGTGCTTTATTCAATTGCTCAGTCAAGTTGAGCAATTGTAAATTCTTGCTGGATTAAATTTGCATTAGTGAACCCAATGCCTTTAACTACACGCAGTCAGAGGAAAAGGATTGCTTACTATAAAATGGTAATTAAAACTAAGTGAAAACACTTTATTTTGGTTTTCTATGTACAGATGCCTACTATTTTAAAAAGCTGCGAATCCTGTCGTTGTCAGTGCATTAAAACAGCAACACTCCAAAATGGTTAATATTGCAGGACATTGGCTTTTTAAGTCTGCCTACTTTGAAGGTGCAAACTTACATGGTTGCCAAATCGCTTCCTTTAAACTAAATTAAAAGCAGCTGTTAGAGCAGGCCATCACAGACATCGTGGCTAAAGCTAGAGCAGAAGTTTCGCTGCCTGGTGTAGCTGAGCTAAGGGCTTTTTGTTGTTTGTAGCCAGAAACCTGGTACCCAGATTGCGATGCAATTTCCCTTTAATTTAGGCGCCAGTATTAGAGACGAGAAGTTAATCCGTCCTTAGTCACTGGTGGTCTCAGTGTAGAGAATGGATTTTGCGTGCTTTTCTTCTTTCTTTTTTTTTGCGTGCTTGCGTTGCCAGATTTTCTGACTCCTATTGTTAATTTGTCTTCATTGCTGCCAGATGTGCCGATGTGGTGACAGACATTGATATGGGTATTTGATTATAATTAAATGCATTTTGAAAGAGATTAATTTTTCCCTGAGTTAAGCGCAAAGCTGTAAGCCAGGAAGGCAAGAAATCTTAAATTTGATTCACTCAATAACTCTTCTTTTTCTTCCCCCCTCAGTGAACCTAGGTTTTTTTAGGGGAAGGAGATAGCTTGTGTTTGTAACCAGACATTGCTTTTTGACGTATCTTTAAAAAAAAAAAAGAAAAGTTAAAAACAGTAAGTACATCTTTCATTCCAAAATTAATGTTTACCCTTAAGACTCCATGTTAAAAGTCCATCATGAGAAACAACCTTTAAATTTATTTTCTGTAGTGGGGGAAGGTTGGGAACAGTGGCAATGTCATTTTGTTCCTTTTTCATCTTCTCCCTTAAATACTTTTTTTTGAGAGTGTAAAGATTGTAATCTTCCAAGGGCGTGGATCTCTGTACCCAAATACATGTTCAGGGTCAAGGACAGAATTTTAAATGCCTTCCCATCAAGTTTTGTTTAACATCCTAAATATACGAATAACTTAAAATTTTATTTGATGCCTTAAATACCCAGAAATGGAAGGGAATGCTCCCTGCTCTGGCAGCGTGAGTTTTCGTTTTTAGTAAGTTGACAGTTGATTGTGCTTAAATACCATGGCAATCTGTAAATGGCAAGATACTTGGAAGATCTTAATAGTTCTTTTTAAGACCACTGACGTAACCAAACATGTTTTAAAGGCTTGCAAGTTCTCTTGCCTTCATTCTCTTTTTTTTTCTTTTTTTTTTTTTCTTTTCCCTTTCTGAAGATGCAGATGTTAGGGAGCTGGTAGTTTGATATTTACACAGCTGAGAGCTAAATTGTAAGTTGATGCGATGGGGAAAGAAATTGCAGCCCACATCGAGCAAAGCTTAGGCTGCACCTCAGAGTCTTAGAATAAGAAACAAGCGTTGCTGAATGACAAAACGGACATTTTGCAGTTTTATGACCAGCACCAACTGGAATCTTGTCATGGGCTCACTTAAAACTTGTCAAATGTTCTTTAAAGGCAGTATCATCTTAATGCTTTACACAACAAAATGTTTTACCTAATGAACTCACAAACAATTGCTGAGGTATAGTTTCTGCAAGCCCTGAATAATAATTGTAATAATTTTAGAGAGAGAAATGGAGTGACTTGTTTCCTAGAATCTCTCTGGAGCAAGCATTTCCTAACTGAGTAACCTAAATGGTGTGTCTGAGGTGACACCAGGGTTACCCGTGTAGTTTCTTCGCTCAGGGCTGTTACTGTTTCAAACACACAAAACCTTAAGGAGCACTCCAGTATTTCGGGACCAAAGGCTTTAATTCAGAGTTCTTTACTAACTGTAAGTGGGTCTTGACAGTGCCACCAGGGCAAAGAGTTAGACCCAAGCTTTCTGCTGAAGAGCATTGCTACTTTTCCAATTGAGGACACATTAATGTCACAAACATTTCTTATTTCAGTCTTGGGGATCTCTTGAACGCTTAGGTCTTACTCCTTGAACTGCTTCAAGGAAGCTTAAAACTAAGACTTTAAGATTCAAGATCCATTAAACATTCGCAAAGATTTATGCTGCAAACACTTGTGTTCTGCCAACCTTACAAGCCGGGACCATAATTGAGGATTGTGTTTCTTTTCAAGTATAAATGTAAGCAGGATTTTTACTTGTTACTTGCAAGTCTTGTCGCGGTTGTCACACATCTTAGAGGACTATATTTTCTCAGTGAAATCTTCTCCATTTTTTTCTCAGTTTGTGTATTACTTGGTCATAGAGAATGTGTCTGACTTAGTTGGATGTTAGTTTAGCAGCTGTGTGAAATTATTTTATTAAGAAAATAAGGGAGGGGAGAGCCTCAGCCTGTTTAGTGAAGTGAGGAAACCAACGTATAACAAGGTGCAGTTCTGTACGTGTGGTTTTACCAGATACCTTCCTTTATTATGTTTTAGGGAGGTGTTACGGCAGGGAATAAAAGCCATACTGCCTTTGCTCACTTACGTGTGGCAAAAAGCGCTTCTCAGGGTGGTTGTCCCTGAGTATTAAGGGTCAGTGATTCCACTGAAATAACATACGTGTACATCCTATCGCTTACCGAAAGGCGGAGGAGCCCTCTCCCGTTTCCCACGCTGCTTTTTCCCTGGTAGCTCAGTGTTGCTCCCAGGTCCTTCGGGGACTCTGGTAACCCACACGACTCCGTTTCCAGTTCCTTTGCTTGCCCTGTCACGGTGGGTCCGGGCTGGGACAAATGTGTTTGGTTTCCAGAGCACGATGGAGCAGAAGGCAGTAAGTCGGTAGCGGTTGGGTGCTGACGGAGAGGAGGGGATGCGTGGGGAGACAGGCCAGCCCCCGCTTCTGGAAGCTCTTGGTATGAATATGCAGTATATGCATAATTGAGAAGACAGATATAAAATATTTATAATACATTGCATACATTCCCGTGTTCTTCACAATACTTTTTGCATATTCATTTCCAGTTGTGCTCTGTGCTCTAAGATGCCAAAAGCAGCTATGCACCAAAGAGCGTGTCATCTGGAGAGTTATATCTTACTGCATCTAAAATCTCCTTTTCTGGTAGACAAGAAACGAGATCCATTTGTTATTCTGTGTTTGTGTTCAAGACTAAATATTGCTGGTGCAACGCATAGTTTCCCAGAGTCGTGTGGTCCACGGGGTCTGCTGTGTCAGAATGCCTGCCGTCAATAAGACTCAAGAATGCCCTGGGACAACAAGACCTGAGAGTGAGGTTGGTAGTAATTTAAGTTCACTGCTTGTAAAACAAATTTAGGCTTTGTGACTTGAGTCCAGGATTTTGTTTCCCACACAACAGAGAACAGAACGATAAATTACTCTAGATTATGGACTACTGGTAGCTCTTCAGCATGACCACTTTTCCTCAGCCATCAAGTGCTTTCGTGTCTTACCCATTGAGCTTGACCGTTGACCATGGGCAGTTCACCAAGTGCGGTGCAGGAGTTTGCAACCTGAGCACCTGTATATGCTATGTTCTGAAATGAATGGTGTCTAATTTTAAACCCTGTGAATTTCAAATGCGATGGCACTGGAAATTAAGATTTTACTTAGTTGACAGAGGTACGAAGATCCCCTGAGTATAAGACAGGCTTTGAGATTTTATAAGCCTTTACTTTGAAACGGTTGTATGCAGCATGGTCGAAAGACCCCCTCATTAGCCATAGCAATGCGCATCCTGCTTATTTTCAGCAGTTCCTTTGTAGATCGATTTGAGTCCACTGCTGGATAATCAAAAATTAGGTATTTGAAATAACATCTTCTTCAACGGTGATGCTTCAGCTTCTCCTACAGCAAAACGATGCAAAACCACATCAGTTCCTATCCAGCTAAAGAAACTACCTTTGGCACTAATTCTGGTGTCTGGTCTACTTATTTTAGAAATCCACTGAAAAAGATTGTAATGGAGGAATTGACATTGATATCCTTAAGTTTTGTTTATGCCACTGTCTTCCATTTTGCATTGCTGTAAGCTGGAGAATTCAGGGCTCTGACTTCCATTCATCAACAAATGTTGGGGTTTCACGCTGATTGCCATAGGTGTGCCAGCACTTGACAGCCATATCTAATTCTGCCCTGCTGCTAACGTGCCGGCACACCACACGTAAGGGAAGTAGCTGGAGGTACCGTGAGTCAGAGCTACGGAGATG